CTTTGTTCATGATAATCCAGGGAAAGTACAGACCTTCCTAGATGCTGTGAACACTATCAAACCCACTGCTATCATTGGTGATTACAGTCTATTTTTTTACTTCTTGGATGTAAAACACATGGCTTTTATTTGACGTTTCAGTCACAAGTTCATTTTTTCTGTCTTGTTTTTTGTGTGTGTGTGTTTTTTATTTTCAACTCAGCATAAGGAATAAAGTTTGGTGTTTTTTTTTTTTTTTTCAGGTGTGGCAGGAGCCGGGCGTCTCTTTACCCATGAAGTCATCAAAACCATGGGATCCTTAAATGAGCGGCCAATTATATTTGCCTTGAGTAATCCAACGACTAAAGCAGAGTGCACAGCAGAGGATGCCTACACAATAACTGATGTAGGCATTTTTTTAAAAATTTTAATTTTATTTTTTACCCTCAATTTTTATTAACTTGCTTACTTTTTGAACTGCTGTAATTTGGTTTAAACTACAGCAGTAGTTTGAACCATGTGCATCATACATCCAGTTTGCTGGCTTAGTCTTCTGTGTCTGTGTCTGCAGGGTAGATGTTTGTTTGCTAGTGGCAGCCCATTCGATCCGGTCACACTGAGCGATGGTCGTGTGTTCATACCAGGACAAGGGAACAATGCTTACATCTTCCCAGGTTATAATAAAAATGATTATGGATATTTATTATGTTCTTAATTGAGCCTAAGAGAATATGAATTACCTGCACATTTCATGAACTTGTGAGATAAAATAGATAACTTGTTCTTTGTTTTCAAGTGTGTGTACTAAAGCTCATCCTACTTTTTGCTTCAGGTGTTGGTATGGCTGTGGTCCTGAGTGGAGTGAGACATATCTGTGATACTGTATTCTTGGAGGCTGCCAAGGTAAAAAGATCAAATAAATTAAAGTTCTCAAATAATTGTTCAGACTTGCTGAACCTCTCCTTAACTTCACAGTCTCTCCAGCTTTCCTTTTGTTGCTGACTGTGTTGTGTGTTTGCTTCTGTCAATCTCGTTTAACCCTTTGATGTGTCCTTTTCCTTCTCTCTAGACTCTGGCATAACAGCTATCAGATGAAGAGCTTTTAAAAGGCTGATCCATCTGTGCGCTTCCTTCTTTTGCTGGGATACATTTCAATTAACACTCATCACTGCAAATGATTAACACAATGCTTTCATGTTAAAATAGGTGTCTGTATTGCAATGGTAGAACCAGTTCTACACAGCTTTAGTTTAATGTCAATTTTATTACTCAATCATTTTAAATCAGGGGTCATCAACACGGAGTGCCCACAGGCACCCAGTCGCCCGAGGGGACCTTGTCAGTCGCCTGCTGAGCAAGTTCTAAAAGTAGCCATTGTCACTAGGGAGCACTGCAAAAAAAAATTATTCAATTAAATGTTTTTACCTTGGCAGTGACAGTTTTGTGCTATTCTCGGATCTAACTTTTTTTTTTTTTTCAACATCTGCTGGTGTCAGCCAACGGGTGACCCGTCAGCTTTTCAGTTTGCGAAACAACAAAAAGGCTCATAAACCGGCGACCCCGTCAAAATTAGCAAAAGTAAAGTGACCGATAAAATTTAGCCTTTTGCATGTCCACCTCCACTGACTCACACTGACGTGTGCTACATGCAAGATGTTTTGACACAAAATATGTTCTTTTCTCCACAATTTTGTTAATAGTAAAAAGGTTTAGATTTTAAAACGTGCAATAACTATTTTTTTTTTTTTTATTTAAAGGAAAATCTCAAGGCTCTCACAGTGCGTACAGCCGTACAGCTGCAATAATCCATACTGTCAGTCACTTGGGGGCAATTTAGAATAACACAAAAAAGCTCCAAAAGAGAATTCAACTTAAAACTCTGAACTAAGAACTTCTGACACATAATAGCAATTAACCATATCTACCATGGTAAATATTGATAACTGATAACTATTGTGAGTAGTCCCTAACATTAATATGATTAGACTGCATGTAACCATATATACATATATGTATAATTGTTATAAAGGCTGAGCCAAGAAAATGTATGTCTGTATCAAGCAAGTAGCCCTTTGTGTTTCTCTGAACCCGTGAAGTCGCTCCCAGTCTCAAAAACGTTGGTGACTCCTGCTTTAAATTAATGCCTGCAATAAGACGTGATTGGCAAGCAAAATAAATTACTTACAAATGATTATAGTACTGTATATATTCTTTTTTCATAGGTTGAAGAAATATAACGTTAAAGTATTTTCATGTCCGTTGCAGATGCTTGCTGAGCAGCTATCAGATAAAGAGCTTGCAGAGGGAAGGCTCTATCCTCCTCTCTCCAACATCAGAGAAGTTTCTCTTCAGATTACTGTCAAGGTAAACCCTGGAACAATACTCGTTTGTCACTTGCTAAATCATTGCTAGTTGATGTTTCTGTTTATAAATTCATTTAATTTTGTCAAATATTTCAGATGTAATCCTTAATACAGGCTTATTTTGTCCTGGTAGAATCTGAATTCTATCAGTTTCTAATTATGTAATGATTCCTTAAAGGAATCATTACCTTGGTAAAATTCCTGATTATTTGTCTTGTCTGAAGAAACTGCATAGAACTTTGTAAATGTATTAAAAATTCTACATTGAATGTCAAACTAAACATATCTAAATGTGATGATATCAAAGGTTTAAAAACGTCTCCAGCACTGCATGTATCCCTGATCTGTTTGTTCTTCATTGCAGGTGATGGAGTTCGTCTATGCCAAAGGCATGGCGTTCCGTTACCCTGAACCTCTGGACAAGAACGGCTTTGTGCGTGCCACTGCGTGGACCACAGATTACGACTCCTTACTGCCAGATACTTATGACTGGCCAGGTGTCAGTTTCAGTCCTATCAACTAGAAGTAGAAAAACACATCTTCAAAGTGGCCAGTGTCATGGTGGACCCCCTTTCCCTTCTTTCATTTTTCACCACAATATTTTTCCACTGAAACAGTTAAAGCTTTGCTGACGCAAACATTAGTTTGTCAAAGCAGTTGCACTAAATCTGTGAGAATTGGACAAGAGACAGACTTTAGAAGGCTCTACAAGTTCATACTGTTTTTTAATGTCAACTAGAGGGCCACCTGGTGGTGGAAAGCTGCAGTGTGATACCTAGTGAAATTTAAATACTCTGCATTTTTTTCTTCGTTTGAAAGTTAAAAAAATGTGATGGTGTTATATTTTTTTCTTTTACATTTTATGTCCAACACTTTGATCAAACACTTTAAAGACCTAGATAGCAATTTTGTAAGGGAAAACAAGGGATACTGCAACTATTTTAGTTTAAAATGTGAATCTTTAACAAAATGGTGAGACATGTAGTTATTGTTTTCAATACGTCCTTTTTTTAAACATAAAGATACATTGGTTACTGAGTAATTGCCCAAATTTTTTTAAAAGATTCAGATACCAGGTATCTGACAGAATAAATGTAATCCAACTGTTGTCTACACTCCAAATGAACAACTATTTATTAAGCACAAACTTCTTGTAAACTTTTTAATTGCATGCAGATATTTCAACCAGTGTAGTGTTAACACTCCTTTAGCAATTTTATATTAGATAATCCATCCCCTTAAAATATTTCCTTTGGCTTATGTGTTGAAGAAAATATATTACCCGTTTTAGTATAACATTATAGAACATACATTATTTTCTTAAAGTACTGTGCACTTTTTGACTCCATATTTCATAATGAAGTGGGAGATGTAGGTACTTTAATATCTCTTTTTGTTCACATGCAATCAAGCAAGTTGAGAATCTAGGCTTTTTTTAACTGCAGTGGTCCATCCTGAAAGCTGTGGCCACAGAGATGAAAATTGTGGCTCACAGCAGGAAGTCGCTGAGCCACGGAAGATGCAAATGTCTGGAAATATAAAAATGCAGCAGAAAAATATGTTTAGTATTGCTGAAAGTCAAAATAATAAAGATGATTTACCTCATATGAAACACAAAAAGAAATATCCAGATTCAGTCACAAGTACAAATATAATAAACTTTGTTTATTATAAAACAAAGTGTCAGTTGTGTTGTTAAATGACGAAAAACCATATTGCTTTCAACATAGACAGCTGAGAAATGGTCAGACGGAACAAAAAGCGACTTTGGTTTTAGTATTGAATGGTTTTCAATATTCAATGTGCAGCTTTTTCTCTGTGCAACTTTAGGATGTGATGTGTTACTAAAGGGGAAAGTGTTATTTATATTTATAAATATTTACACACACAAATTAAATTAATCTGAACTGGACTCTCTGCTGTTTCCTGGCAGTATTTGTCCAATATTGTGTTCCTGAACTTTTCTTTTAATAGTGCTACTTCATATTCTTTCATATGTTGGTAATTTTACTGAAGTCTTGCACAAAACTGCACTGCATTCTGGGAAATGTAGGTAGAGGAAAGCTTTTATCTTTATCCCTATCTAAGCAAGGTGGGTGCCAACTCAGATGGTACGAGAACCTTGCGCAGCAGCAGTTTTGTGTTTTGCCACCGTGCCTCAACTTCTTAGAACAACATAGAGTGATAAAAAGAGTGCAACAGCTTCAAAGAAAATTGAGAGTACAGGTCACATGACCAGTTTGGCAGTATATTTCTGGTTATTTAAAACAATGAACCAATATCTGTCAATTGATATGGATGTGCTGACATAGTCATATCCCCCAACCTAGCTAATGTACTGCTACAGAATAAATTCTATTGCATATTGACTCACTTGTCTTGTCGTTTTCTTTTGGTCTTTGATCATCTTTTATCCTTACAGAGATATATTACAACAAGCAACCTCTACTCTGTAGCTTAATTAGGGACTTCAGTATTAAAAGTATTTTAAACACTATTCTTATATTTCATAAACATTACAGGAAAAAAAATGTCCGCTTGTTGTCAAAATTAAAACATTACAAACACAAAGAAAATGTAAACCTTGCGTTTTTCGCGTCTATAAAGCCGACCCAATCATCCTGCGCCGCTCCGTCTGACATTTTGCGTCATCACTGTGTGACCTGTGCTGACAGGCACACAGTGGCTCTCGTTACTGTTTGTGGAAGTTTCTGTATCTTTTATTGTTATTCTTTTCTGACTGAGCTTCTGTAACTCTGGGAGAATGTCCATGGAAATGATTTTCCTCGGAACCGGGTCGGCTTATCCGTCTCCTCACCGCGGCGCCTCGGCCGTGGTGCTGCGGACGGACGGGGAGTGCTGGCTGTTTGACTGCGGAGAAGGAACCCAGATCCAGCTGATGAAGAGCCCGCTCAAAGCCGGTGAGAAACCAGCACAGCCCCTCTAAGTACACTGCTCAAAAAAATAATAATAATAAAGGGAACACTCAAATAACACATCCCAGATCTGAATGAATGAAATATTCTCATTGAATATTTTGTCCTGTTGTCTATTCCATTTGCACAAACAGCAGGTGAAATTGATTGTCAATCAGTGTTGTTTTCTAAGTGGACAGTTTGATTTCACAGAAGTTTGATTTACTTGGAGTTATATTGTGTTGTTTGAGTGTTCCCTTTATTTTCTTGAGCAGTATATTTTGAAGCAAAACAAAACAAAAAAACAGAAGTTATTTAAGTATTTTTCTGAAACTTTTGAGATGGTCATAAAACCAGATTTCTCTCAATCTGTACTTCTCCGTTGTTGGTCATGGTGTCCACCCAGGGCGCATCACGAAGGTTTTCATCTCCCACTTGCATGGCGATCACCTGTTCGGGTTGCCTGGCCTCCTCTGCACCGTGAGCCTCAACACCAACCGCGACCCGGAGCAGAGCCCGAAATGTGTGGACATCTACGGGCCCCGGGGCCTCAGGAAGTTCCTCAGAGTGAGTCTTGGCCTCACAGGATCAGAGCTGCTCTTCCCGTATGCAGGCAGGTGCAACGCAAACCTTCTGTCGCTAAAACTCTGGAACGAATTGAAAACATGAAAGCATACCTTGCCTCTGCTGTAGTGCATGAGCTGGAGTCCACGCCAGACCAGAGTCCAGAAGAGGGACAGCTCAGCATGGAGGTATGTTTTTTTTTTCTTCTTGGAGGAGTTAATAGTGAAATTAAAAAAAAAAAGCCAAACAGGAAAAAAAAGCGTTTTATTTATTCTATGTTGATAAGATGAACTTCCCCCATCATATAAATGCATAAAGATTATTTCAGCCTCCCTATATTTACATTTCTTTAAAAAAATAGATGCTTTGAATCATTATGTCAACATCTGCTGTTTATTATTTTTATTGGAGTGGGACTTGTAGGTTTCCCATTTGCTCTGACATTTGCTCTAACATTACAGATGACTGTGGACTGCAGTCCTCCCCAAGCACAGGAGCAGCCTGGCAGGACGATTCCTTTGGACGTTTCCGGCGACTGTTACCCCCTTTTCCAAGACAACAAGTTTGTTGTCAAGGCCTTCCGGCTGTTTCACCGCATTCCTTCCTTTGGCTTCTGCATCCAGGAACACGATCGTCCCGGAAGACTGAAAACAAAACTACTGAAGGAGCTCGGTAACAAATACCTCCTGATTTACTATCAACCTGAGAGAAGATTGGACTGTTTTTTTGATTTTCCAATAGAAATCCCACTTTTTACCACAAACAAACAAAAAATATATATATTTTTTTGTAGTGTATTTAGAACCTATACACCTTGTACTGTTGGTGAACATTGCAATTCCTTGACCTTTTAAGACATGAGGGACATTTCTGTAGTCATTTCTGTATTTTTCAACTTTCTTGGTTTTGCTGAAAGAACATTTCTATGAGGATGTATATTTTTAAAACCCCTTATTTTTAAAATTCAACACATGTTGAAAGCACGTGATGAATTTATAAACAACTTTTATAAACATTTATTTTATTTTTTAAGATCATGAGCTATACAGTTAAAGACTTAAAATTATTATAAATATATATTTTAAATGATTGATGTATTTTCTCAACTTTAGGTCTTAAACCAGGCCCTCTGTATACCCGTCTCAAAGCTGGCGAGTCTCTGGTTCTTGACAGTGGACGTTTACTGCATCCCAGTGAGGTTCTGGAAGAAGATATTCCAGGGAGGAAAGTCTGTGTTTTCGGTGACTGCAGCTCGGTGCTCGGTGAAGGAGCTTTCCGTCTGTGCGACAGGGCGGACGTTCTGGTCCACGAGGCCACCCTGGGGAACGAGCACCGGGAGAAAGCTGTGGACCATGGACACAGCACGCCTGAGATGGCAGCGGCCGTGGCTCGGACTTGCTCTGCACGGAGGCTGGTCCTTTATCATTTCAGCCAGCGCTACAAACCCAGTTCCCTACAGAAGGAGGGAGACGAGGACGTTGTCTCGGAGCTCAAGAAGCAAGCTGACCAGGCTTTACAGGACAGTGGCGTAGAGGTGATTCTGGCAGAGGACTTTATGACGATTCCCATTCCTCTCAAAAGACAACCGTCCAGTTAAGGTTTGATGCAAGTGGATATGACTAATCTAACGTGTGTGATTTAGTGCTCAGGTTTACGCATCACTGTCTTTTATTTCCTTGTTCACTATAAATTGAAACGTTAACCAGATATGTACACAATAAAGTTTTTTTTTAAGTCAAAAAAGGCAAATTATTCACATCCTCCAGCAGGTTCTGGCATAATTTCTGTTTGACAAATTAAGGTTAACTGGCTGAACTGCAGTAAATGTTTCAACTTTTCTTCTGCAGCTGTTTTCATCACCTACAGCTGCCTTGAATATGCTGGCCTGGCCTTACTGTAATATTACTAAAGACAAAAAAGTGTGCAATCATCTTTGAAGTTTTTCCAGAGCTTTATTTCTGGATCTGTACACAAGGTATTAAAGTACAACAGAAAATACAAAATGTTTAACAAAAGACAAAAAAAACAAAAACAGCAATGTTTATGTACAATTCTTATAAACAATAAAGATAGCTTCTCAAACATTTCTCATAGTGAAGTTTTTGATTGTCTATATTTCTGGATATACATTTTTAGGTTTTGTAGGGTTTCTTTTATTCACAAAGGTGTTTTTCGGTTTTAAAGGATGTGGATTTTCAGTTTCAAGACACGACTGCTATATTCCGTTTAACTTTTAAACTTCTAAACACAATACAAAATAAATTTGTTTAGTGCTTTCCTGCACACACAAATCTCAGGCCAGAGAGATCAATAAAATATCACATTTTCGAGTTCACAGGGAGGTGAGAACCTACTCAAACTACTTAATGGCCTTTACATTCTGACAGTTTTTAGTCTTTGTACAAACCACAGGTGAAATAAATATCACTGCACTGCTAAAGCTAGAAGAGCTTGGAGGACCTACTGCATTTTGCACATTGCATTAAAAGAGAAACGAGCTCTTCGCATACTTAGAATCAGCAGCCATCCCTTGACCACCAAGACAAATATCGACAAGTAAAAAGTTTTAGGAAAGAAAGATGTGTCTTTTACACATGGCTGCACAAACCGCAACATTGAGTAATACCAGCACGTCTTTAGGTAAAGCCGTTTTCTGTGGCACACAAGAGAGGCAGGCGCAGCAGGCATGCGTGGTTTCAACTGCGGCCTGGAGCTTTTGGGTATCGTGACTATCCAAACAGAGAAAAACGTAATTTGAACAAGTCAAATGTTTAAATGCAAAAACAAAACAAAAAAACATGACTGTACATATCTACAAATTATTGCCTTTCTGACAGAGAACCAAATTTAAAATCTTTGTATCGACACAAACTCACAAGTGTAAGAGGTCAGTTAATAGGCGTTTTAAAGGCTATTTGCTAATTATTTACATGAAATGCCGATGTAAGGAACCTCTCTCTGATGCTGGGCTTTCAAACTGAATTTACATGATGGAACTTAGTGATGATTTAGTGGGCATGAATTTGATCTTTACACAAACATTATGGGAGAAATGCAAACATGTACTGGACAAGACTGACATGATATTCCCCTGAAACAAACTAAACACTCATAGCACGATGCATAGATAAATTAAGTAAACACTACTACTGCATCCAATTCACTGACGCCGATCCGCTGAACTTTTTTTTTTGTTTGTTTTGTTTTACAATTGTGGAATTCAGTCAAGTAAAAACCGCTCCATTTCTGCTACGTTGCTCCCATGAAATTGTCAATCGGGTTTTAAAAGGCATCTCTCGTCAGTACAGGCTGAGCAGAGGTTACGTACGCAACTCAGAGGCTTTAAATAAACATAACACCACCAGCAGGTTTACCAAAGCTTGCTAGTAATGGAAAGAAAAAAATGGAGCTACTTGATTGAGGAACAAATTCTACCATATTTAACAATGACAAGGTCATATACAGGTAAACCTGCCAAAGAGCAGCATGAACAAACTTCAAAAATATTAAATTAAGTCTTACAAAGGTCAAAATATACTCAATAAATACAGAACTTTACTGTGTCAGTGTTTACATGGCTATTAACCCAACCACAATCTTTGCATTGCTATATTGCTGTTACAGTTTGCTCCAAAGAAGATTTCACAACAAGGAGGAAAGGAAAACAATGCCACTCCGATTACGTGAGGCTGCAAAACATTTTCTTCACCAGCTGTTTAGAAGCACGATGATAAAACAACAAATCAGGGCCAGAAATTTAGGTTTGACATTAGAAGAAAAAACATAAAAAGATGCTGCAAAGGTTCGCACCTGCCGAGTTTATCTGAACTTAAAGATGAGTTGCACCAAGAGACTGCCTCTTCAAATCAAGAAATGTTTTGTCCATCGCACTCCTCCGGGGTTAATGCTGTAATTGAGTGAAAAAGACTGAAAACTAATTATTTTAGTATCAACAGTGTCTGAAAATTAAACTTGTGTAATCTATAATCCATATATAAATTAGGCTGCAAAAGAGCAAGAGAGAGCAATACTTGAATCAGCTAAAGTACTCTAATTTTTGTTCTTTAAGTGCTGTGTATAATACAACATGACAGATTAGCTTTTTAGAAAACTTAATCTACATTCTTTATAGAATACAAACCAGGGCTCAGTTTTGCTTCTTCAAGACAAGTCAAAATTTCAGAAAAAAAACTAAGTAAGTTTAAGTAAAAGTTAAAGTAAGTTTAAGTGCGACAAATAAATTGTAACAAAGATTCTGATTGGTGCATCTCTATAAACTAACTCAAATTTAAGAACCTTTGCAGCAAGTCAAAACACTTCCTGGCCTCTGAGCAAATCTGCATGCTAGTGTTACTTCCACTCAGGTTTTTGGAGGTGGTGGGGGGTCAACAACACCTTCTGCACCATTCTGATTACTGAAAAGTACCTGTAAACCAAACACAATAAAAAAACTTAAATAAAAAAAAATAACTTAAATATAAGTACCACATCAAATAAAGACAGGAAACTACTAACACTAGAGGCAGAAAACAATCTGTTTTGGCAGCTGAAAAGAATGGCAGGATAACAGACTAGCGCTGAAGATGCTTGTATATGTCAGGGAAAGAAGATTCACAACTCTCCTACTGCAGCTTCTGGGCCCCACGGTGCATGGACGTTACACATCTCATAAACGCAAACGAAAGTAAAATAAATGGCTATATAAACTCTTGAGAGAAATCAAGATTTTAGTTCTATATGGTAGACATCACTGATGTCATATTACACAAAAATGAAAACAAAAAGTATATTCATATACATATATATAGATATGTATATATTTATATAATAGAATTTAAACAAATCAGATTTTCCAGTGAGGTCAGTCTTATGTACAAGCAAGAAAAAAACCCCAAAAAGGTTTCAAAAGGGAAGAACAGAGGAAGAAGACGAGGAAGATCACTCTGACTGAAGTGCTGCAGTATGCTGTGTGTGGTGCCGTGCGTGCGCTCCCAGAAACCCGTTGGGCTCGCCGCTGCCAGCTAAGCTCCCGAAGTCTGTGACAGACACGGCCATTTTGGCGCCGGTGATTCGGTGGTGGTGTGTCGTTGTCCGTCGGGCTTCAAAGTCCACACCGAGGTTAGCGACGGAAACGTCGTTGATAAACGAGTCAGGCAGTGTCATCTTGAGTCTCTTGGAGGGCCGCTCGCAGTCTTTGTTGACGCACACTCCTCCGAGCTGGCCCAGGTCGGAGTAGAAGCCGGCGTCGAGCATGTTGAGGCAGTCGGGGTCGGCACCGTTGGAAGGGAACCCGAGGGATTCGTCGTGGTTCAGCGATCCACGGTGGAGACTTTCCAGAGGAGGAAAGCTGTAGGAGTCTAAGCAACTCACCTCTCCAGGGGAGCATACTGTGGCTACAGTGTTGCTTAAAGCTGTGAGGAGACAGAACGGTGTTAGCATGGAACATCCAAAGATGACAACTGCAATTATAAGTCAGAAGATCATCTGTTATGAAGAATTTCACATTCCTCCTATACAAACCTGTGAGATCACTTGCAGTGATGGAGTTGAGCAGACTGAGCTGCTGCTCTGTTGTGGCCTCCATCCTTCCCCCTCCACCCACACCTGAACACACAGATGACGAGCTGTCCACCGCCAGCCCCTCTGCTTCATCCACCAGCCTGTCCATCAGGTCACTGCGCAATAAAATCACAACCAAGACAATTTCTTTAACATCAAGTATGTTTTTTTTCCCCAGTGTGTTTGACATGGAGCAAGCAGGTCAAACCGACTTGTTCCGGTCACTTACGTTACACCAGGATAGCTGCTGTACTTCTTCTTCCCAAACCGATTCTGCTGCACAAACACGTCGAAACGCTCAGACTTCTTCCACATGTAATAAAACGCTACACATTCTGCTACTGTCCGTGTTGTTACCTGAGGGGACAAGAACATTAAAATTCAATAAATTGTTTTTTTTTTTTTTTACTTTTGCATAAATACTATAGTAAAAATATGAAACAAGTCTCACTTTGTGTTTCTGAATAAGGTGAAAGTTCTTGTCGTACATCTGGAGAGCATGTTCAAAGTTCCTGCACTCTTCCTCCGACCATGGAGGAGATTTTTCTAAAACGAAACACAACAAATATTAAAACAATGATTTCTGGAATTATCTCAAAAGTAAAGAATGTCTTAACCAGAGAGTCAGTCCAAATAACTGAGCTTAAAGAATTAAGTTTATTACTTGATCTAACATCTAACAAGACTAACTGGTTATTCTATGACTTACTGTTACACCTCATCTGAAAAAACTTACACATTTATAAATGTATACATATGGAATAATGTGATCATTTCCTTGTCTGCTTACCTTTATATGATTTCATATGGTTGCAGTATCTTTCTAGTGCTTCACGGATGTTGTAGTTGCATTTCACAAGCTCATATAAAGCCTAAGATGGAAAAAATGAAGTGTTGGACAAAACACATCAAATAAAAACTACCCATCGAAATCTTGATTGTTTTTCAATGTGTCACATCAAAGAATTGTCAAGGAGATGTGACCTACCTGCTCGTCATCTCGAACATGCATCCCTGGTTTGTCGTATTCTGTGCTTTCATCCGTTGTCCTTGACAATACTTCAGAGAGATAACTCCTAACCTTGTTTTCTGACAGAATGTCTGGGCTCCACAGTAACTCGTCATCATCTTCATACACTGTTGACAAGAGGAGATGATTTAGAGTTAGAGCTTCTGCTTGATTCCTCTTGCTGTTGTTAGGAGTTGGCTAGACCGCCATGTACAGATGCAAAAAGCAGCGCTCACCTTTCTCCTCATCTTTGTAGTGACAGAGGCCAGATGGCACCTCTGCTTGGTACTCTAACCCCACCATGATTTCCTTGAAAAAGAGAATACACACCATGATGAAAGTAAATACAAAAACTTCATGTCATGAAGTTT